GCCTCAGCCTCCTGAGTGCTGGAATTACAGGCATGCACCACCACGCCCAGCTAAAAAATACACATTTAAAAATAAATCTTGGGCCGGGCAGGCATAGTGATGCAAACCTGCTGTGAATTCGAGGCCAGCCCAGGCTACACAATGAGTTGAAGGCCAGCCTAAACTACATAGAAAAAAATTGTCTCAAAAAAACCAAAAGTCTAACGAATATGGGGCAAGAGACCACTCACCAGGCTTTTGTGATAGCAACCAGGCACATGGTTTTAATACCTGGGTGTAGGCAGGCAGAGAGCAATAAGGCCATCTGTAGGGAATGAAGAGAAGTGTGTCCCTTTCGTAGGGAAGGAAAGAGGCAGGGGACGTTAGGCAGGAAGATTTTAATAAACAACTGTGGTCCAAGTTCTCTGGCTGTCTTGCATCTCAGTGGGCAGGATCCTTGAAGGTCTGGTATAAATTTTTGGGTGTCTCCAGATGTCCCCAGGACCTGCAAAATTCCTTGTCCTGGCTTATCTCTTTTACGACATCCTATGCTTTCCCATGACAGCTTTGGTGTTGAGCTGAGTTCCCTGCTGAGAATAGTGCTTCTGCTGGCAAGCAGGTTGGGGGCTGGGAGAGTCAGGTCCGATTTAAACCTTACAGGAACCACCACCCCACAAGAAACCCAAACAAACAAAATGACCTAAGTTTGTGGTGATAGTTGAATAACTCAGTGTGCTAAAAATCTATTGAATCTTACTCTTCAAATTTATAAATTTAAGCTGGGCATGGTGGTGCATGCCTGTACCATGCCTGTAATTCCAGCACTCAGGAGGCTGAGGCAGGAGGATCACTGCAAGTTCAAAAGCAGCCTGGGCTACAAAGTGAGCTCAAAGCCAGCCTGAAGTGCATAGCGAGACCCTCTCTCAAAGAGACAAAAAAAAAAAAATTATAAATTATGTAGTATGCAAATCGTTAGTTCAATAAAGTTGTTTTATTTAAAAAATAAAACTAAACATATGCTCATGATAAGAGTTCTTAGCTAGGCGTGGTGGTGCATGTCCGTAATCCCAGCACTCATGAGCATGAGGCAGGAGGATTGCTGCGAGTTTGAGATCAGCCTGGGCTACAAAGTGAGTTTAAGGCCAGCCTGAACTGCATAGCGAGACTTTGTTTTAAAAAGACAAAAAAAAAAAAAAAAAAAAGTGAATATGAAGCTAACTTCTTACACACAAGTTTTTCTGAATTTCTCTGGCCTATTTATTCTTATTTTCTGGCACTGGAGAGTGAACACAGCTGGTGCAGTGTACTACATCCTCAGCCCTTTTAAAATTTTTTATTTTGAGGCAAGGTCTCCTTAAGCCCTAGGGTGCCCAGGTGGGGACTCCAATACTTCATCCTTCTGCCTCAGTCTCCCAGAGTGCGGGGAGTATAGGCATGCACCACTATCCTGGCTTCACTGGACAATCTCTATTGATGACAAATGATGTTTAATTCAGCCGCTACTTTCCCCTGTTTAATTAATATTGTGTCTCTTCACATCATTTGTCTTCTATGTGGCCAACAGAAGAATCTGAGTATTTTAATAATATCTACGCCCAAGTATTGTAAACACAAAGGAAACCTGGTTTAGGAGATCTTTCCCAGCATGCAGTTATGGGTCACTCTGTTAGAAAATGGAATTCTCTTAAATATCCTAAGGTTGTTATATTTTCATTTTGATGATCTCAAACAACCAAAAACCAAGGTAGAATGAAGAAGGCCTGATTATCCTTATCCATGAAGATTCTGAGAACAACAGAGAAGGTGACTTGACCTGAGTTTGAGTGACAGGTTAAGGAGAAGAGGGAAGGTATAAAAGTACACTCCCAGATTTGATGGCCAAGACAGTCAAGGTAAAGGTTTGTTAAGTCTGATGTGCCTGTGGGACAGTACAATAGAGATGTCTGGGAGAGCCGCTTGTACCTGGAGTTTATGACAGCTGTCTGAGCTGCAGAGAGGAGCCTGGGAATCTTTAGTACACAGTGATAGTAGTTGAAGACAGAGTGAGATTATCTGGAACTACACTCAGAAGAGGCAACCTCAGTCTGAAGTTTGAACACTTATAGCTTGTAGGGCCAGGAAGAAGGGAGCTCACCATACAGAATATCTGGCAGTGTGAGAACCAGCAGAGCTCCATGAATGGAAGCCAATAGATAAGAAAGTTTCCAAAAAGGAGGAAGCACTGTGGAGAGATTTTTAGAAAGTGCTTTAAAGTAATTTTTGCAGGTAGGTACTCCTACTTGTGTGCGCTTTTAGTAGAAGGATGCTAGGAGCTAGATTCTGATTGAAACCATACTATACGAATTTGAAGAGTGAATGGTAGGTATGGAAAGAGATGAAAACCTTGCAAGATAGTTGATTGTGAAGTGAAGAAAAATGCATTAGAAGCTTTTATGTACTTATTTCTAT